AGGAGAGGAAGGCTCAGACTTTGGTATTTGTGGGCATTAGGCAGAGTATCCCAAGGGGAGACAGGAAAGGATGGGGAAAGGCAAGACAGCCTGCCTGTTCCTTCGTATTTGCAACACTCTCTTTTTTGTTGCCTTCCTTTCTTTTACTCACGCTTTCTTTGCCTTTGCATCCTTTTCCTCCCTTTTACACTCCCTCCCTCCAACTGCCACAATCACTAGCCCTGCCCCATCTCCCCTTTTAGCATTTGCTCCATCCCACCAAACTCACCGTCAGCGTGAGCAGGAGCACGGACGCCTGCCCCCAGCTGCATCAGGAGCCCCCCCAGACAGCGGTAGGGAAGGCTGAGCTGCCTCTGGCCCCACCACGTGTAGCAGCACCCCGAAACCAGCTCCATGCTGCCCTGACGGCGTGTGCCTTCGGGCTGGCTAGAGCCGCCGTGCGCCGTTAGCCTTCGCAGAGGGCAGACTGACATCAGTATTTCAGACAGGGCTGCAAGTAGTCCCCCAGGTACAAAAGCACTCATCCAGCGCACTATTAATTATGCCTGCTCAGCTGGCCAGGACAAAACATTATTTTCTGTTAAACCAAGAGGGACAGGTTGTGACCACGAGGGACCTTCCTGATTTTCAGGAACTCTTGATTACTCTGTGTAAACGCATGGCTTCTGCCACTCAGAGAGGGGTGCAGCCAGGGAGGGCAAGAGGCAGGAGCATGAGGTGGGAAAAGCATTTGAAGGGAGCAGTTTCATCTATTTTTTTTCTTTCTTGGGTTGGATGGCAGGAATTTGTCACCAGAGAAATTATTTCTCAAGCCTCCAGATGCATTCAAAATAAAGAACAATGGACCACATGATAAGCCTTCTGCAGCCTTCACCACAAAAGAGATGCCGGATGTTTTTTTCAGCCCTGACAATAGCTTTCATGCACTTTTGTGTTACATAGAAATAGGATTTTTACTGCCAGAACAGAGGCATTTCCTGCTGGATTATACTGAAGCAAGCCTACGAGACCAAGGGGTCCCCAGTTGTTGGTCACATTTAAAATTTCAGTGAAACAGTATGGCCCCTGAAAAGGTGCCTATCTTTTAGCATTATCATTGCAGAGACATGTAACAATTACAGCTGAAGCACTTTGTCTATGCCTAGGAAAACAAGTGAAGAGCCAGCCTTTTCCCTTTGGTTCTACAAGAAAAAAAGACACTTTTTTTTTTTTTTTTTTTGCTTTTTGAATACAAAGAAATGAAATTCGGAGACACAAAAAGTCAGGTCAAGGGTTTGTCACTGGTGACACCTATTATTGCTGTTACATGGATGGATGGATTTCAGCAAAAAAGGCCACACAGAAATGATTTAAGAGCATCTGTCTCTGCCTTCTGCAAATGCCGCCCTAGCAAGAGAACAGGGGGCAAGGGAAATGCTTGAAGATAGGCAATAAATATAAATACACAGCATGCTTAGCACCCTTGGGGAGAAATTACTGTCCCGGGTACATTTCTCCCCTTGCAGGCATACAACTGCTGACAGAACAACAGGAATGCTGATGCTGCAGGAGGAATAGCACAAGCCTTGGGAGGAGACATCCTCGTTTAGTGGAAAAAGAAACAGTTGGTCCACTGGTCAATAATTTTAAAAAAAGGTTCCCAAATTCAAGCCTCCTGAATTCCTGCCTGAATTTTTCCAACAGCATCAACATGGAAGTCAGAGGGAGCGGCTAAGCTCACAGTGCTTCAAAAAACAAGCCTGTTAGGAAAGCATCCTCAAAAGGACAGCCAGTAAGTTTAAACAAACCTTTAAGAAAGTGTTTTCCCCACATTATTTCTTATAATCAAGGAGCTATCTGAAAAGAGTTGGGCTTCGAGAACTACATCACATGAGCAAAAGGTTCATTTTTATATTCTTTCTCTGAATCCTTTCTCTGAAAGGGGAGCCAGACACAGAAAATACTTTGAAAGAGATGAAGCTATGGTGAAACACCTACAGAGGTTAATGCTGAGATTCACTTTGAGTGACTCTCAAGTGATCCAGTTACAAAAACATCCTTAAAATGAAGAAAAATCAGGTATTTAAAGCCCTTAAACCACAATTTTCAGCCTGTAGATTCCATAGGCTTTGTGGGGTGATTTTAAAGATCTGCAAAGATAAGTATACTGACAAACAACAGGTTTGTTTTTCTTCAACTTGCATGCAGGTGTCTAAGAGTCAACTGGAAAAAGCCTACAAATTAACAGAGCTTGCAAACTTTTGCCATGCAAAATATATACACAGCAGGTGAAGGCATTATTGCACACTGGCGGTAGCAGCAGTTGGGTTGCTCAGTGCAGAACTAGTATACGCTTGGGTTGCTAGCCAAAGTTGGTACTATTCCTCCTTTACCAGGCACACTGAAGCTAGAGCAAGTACACAGCCCCAAGCTGCAGTCAAACCTCCTTGCTCTGCTTTTGATGTACCCTGGATTGCCCTGGACCCAAAGTTAGAACAGGTTGAGAGCTCTTAAATGAAGATACCCCATAATGGTGATGAGAAGTCCAGAAAGGGGAGTATTTAGCAGGCTTTTTTTTTTTCTTTCCCCCTAGAGATTTCACTTACAGGAAAACGCCAGGGTGCACCAGCTCTTTGTTGCAGCGGCAAAGGTGATGGGATTCACAGCAGCAGACGGGCAGGCAGGGAGCAGGGCAGGGAGCATCAACTCCTTCTGGTTACAAGTCAGCAGCGATGGGCTGGCTTTTAAGGAAATGAGCGAGCAAAGCCCTTCTGAGCACGCAGACCCCACACCAAAGCTGGTTTGGCTCTGGTCATTTATGCAGCATCCCATGCAAGAGGCACAGAAAGCACATTGGCTTCTGTTCTCACTCTCCCAAGCTAAAAATGAACTGCTGGCAGGTTTTAGGAATAGATAAAAAAAAAAAAGTCAAATCAATTTTAGGGCTTTTTTTTCTAACCCTGCCTCCTGACTACAAGGCAAGTCCAAACAAGAACACACTCTGAAAGACTTGAAATCCATGTCTACTCTTCCTCAGGCTCACAGCCTGACTGAATTCAGTAGCAGCTTTGCTTTCCTAAGTACAAAGCTGAAATTTCTCCCTATCACTTAACCTTTGCCCAAGCTTTTCACGTGAGGCTCACCTCCTTACTAGCAGGTCTTTAAACAGACCCTCTGCCCTAGGGTAAACTCACCCCAACAGAATCTGTTCTACAAAGAGCAAAGGAAACAGACTGTGAATTATTTTTGCTTTTATCATAAATAACCTCTCCCTCTTGTGAATGGATCTCCAGTCGCCGTTAACTCCAGGCCTACTGCACACAGGAGCTGAACCACAGCCTGCAGAAATCAATACCATTGACTCTAATGAGTTCTGAATCATGCTTAGCACTCCTGGAGACACATCCCACTCTTCCAGCAAAGAAAAATATGGATGTCAGTAGATGCATTGACAGTAATGTATGCTAATGAAGGTAATGTAACTTAACAACATGTGAATTATTGATGTAGGCATGTTTAAACAGAAAAATCAGCAAGGAATCACACCAGACCAATACACTCCAGTGTTTGTTCACCAACAGGCAATTGGAACGTGGTGGTCTTGAGAACAGTCATTACCACTTTATTAGCATGAAAGGATTTTTGTTAGGTTATCCATGCCTCACCTGATACATGAGTCATTTAAATTTCACGTCGTGTGACACTGCACGATCTCAATAAGCCATTTGTACTAGCATCAGATGAGCTACTTTTACACATCTGTAGTTTCCTCTGAGCTTTTCAGACATTTATGATAAATCACACCGCTTTGCCTAAATTATTTTGCTTAACCTTATTTATCAGAGTCATAGATAAGGGCTGGTTTAGCCTTTCATTCACAACAATTCATGGAAGTGTAACTCCCCTGAATGCAGCAAAGTTGCTCCTGATTGCCATGAGGCACATGGAGAATGAAACTAGCTCCTTTGTCTGGCATGGCTCTGGTTCCCAGGATGTCAAGGCAGTTGACTCAGCTCTATCATGAAATAAACACAGTTTGTCTATCTAGACAGTTTTATCACATCCATCATCATGTTCTCCTAATGTATTTAGAGAAAATTCATTTTGTATTACAGTAAAAACAGGATATATGTTCAATAATCATCAGTGTTAATTTTACTATTATTCCATTATCCTGTGAGATGTAATCATTCTGTCTGTACTTTCAGGTGAGTTGGCTCCATCTCTGTGGTATCTGGGAACTACATTGCAGACAGGCTTTGTTTTTGTAAGGACTGTTGGGGCATACAGATTTTTACGGTCTCATCACGTCCTCACCAGGTTATACTGATACGCATCATCACTGCATCAATATAGACAAAAGGTTTCCTAGTACCTACTGCACCTAAAAAATCCCAACCACCAAATCATCGATGCACATTTCTGGACATTTTAGTGCTGCATTCAGTTCTGAGAGTGTTGAGTGGGCAGGGGAGAAAGCTGTCCCCCAGCTGGAGCCAACTGGGGAAGCGAAGCCCTGGGTTGCTCCATCACCACCCCATGCATGCATCACCTCAGCCGCTCTCTTCAGAGAAACCAGCATCCTCAATGCCCAAATAAGCTTTGCAAAGCCATGGAGAAGAAAACAAACCTTAACTGATATAACTAAAATAGCCGCTTATTCCGGAAGAGTTATCGCATTACTCTCAGTGCAGGCAATTAATCTTACTGACATACTGTAAACTGCTCCGCAATTTCTCCAGCACTCGCAAGAGAAACACACCAAGCCTTTTCCAGTTGTATTCATGAAGGAATATTTGGGGCTTTTTTGAGGAGGGAAGCAGTTGGGGGACAGTTGTGTGCTTATATGCCATGTTAAAACAGATAAACACACTATGAAAGATAATCCCTTTTTATTTACTGAATGAACACTATGCCACAGCTTGTATTATCAGAGAACCAGCAAGTCACCGAGGCAGTGAAAACCAAGGGGCATGTGTGCGTGCATAATCACGCAGGAGCGCCACTCGATTTCGTTTTACCTTTTCCGGAGCCGGGAACTGCAGGTGATTTACTTCCAAAGGTGTGATCAAAGGAACTGTCTGAAAACCATCTTCGTTGGATGGTTGTTTGCTGTTCTTGTCGTTCAAATTACTCCCCAGCTTCACCATTCTTGGACCTTGCTTTCCAGACCTAAAACCAGCGAGACGATCAATGTCACAAAGGTAGCAGGGAAGGGGAGGATTTCTGCCTTACCCTGCTCGGTTTGACTTACCACATCGGGTACCTGCGCTTTTACGCCTGGGTTTCCAGGCATACCACACCACGACTTCACTTCGCACATGCATTTTGCCCTGCCTTACGCAGACACCCCACAAATACCCCTTA